CTGTAGGGATGGCTATTGTACATGAAAAAACAAAGATGTGATCACTCTACTGCACACCCAGGAATGCTGGGGAATCTGGTCTTAGAATGATCTAGTCATCTTCTTCCTCTCTACCATCTTCAGCATCTTGTTTCCTCTTCTCCCCTCAGAGACSATTTTCTTCCTCTTCCTCCTCCTCTTCCCCTTCATTTACATAATCATCATCATCTTCTTCATTCTGAATTTCTTCTTTCATCAAGTAAGAAAGGCCCACTTCTTCTTCTCCCTCTCCCAATTCTGATCCTGCTTCATCTTCATCCTCATCCTCCTCATCACCTTCCTCCTCATCTTCCTCATTTCCTTCAGGTGGACCAGCTTCATCTTCCTCTTCATCTCCATCACCTTCATCTCCATCCTCATCCTCATCCTCTTCAGGAGTCAGGTGCTTCATTATCTTCCTGATCAAATCCATCTAAGTATGTGATTTGTTGCAGCAATTCAAAGAAAGTTTCTCTGTAATCTTCCAGATTTGTGATCTCATAGTTAAACATGTCAAGAGTTTTCAAATTTTTAAGATTTTGCAGAGCTTCTACCATACTGAGATCTTTGATTTTTGTTTCCATTCAGATTGAGGTAGATAAGATTTGAACATTTTTCTGCCAGGACTTCCCAGCCTCCAGAAATTATATTGTTACTAAATTCCAACTTTCGAAGTTTGTTTAAGCTGGGAAATTGGGCCAATGAACTTAATTCCACATTAGCCATACTCAGAAACTCTAGTTCTTTAAGTGTTATTCAGGCCTTCAATTTCCCCACTGACACACAGGCAATTATCAAGAACTAATTCTGTCACCTCCTCCAAGGCTCAGTTCCTTATCTCCATGTTAGTCCTCTTCTTCATCTCCATGTCCTCCTCCTGCTCTTCTGCTCCTACTCTCTTCCTTTCCCCTTTCCTGCTTGTCCCACTACCCCCTAACCCTAAAATTTTTAAAAGATTTGGAAATGAATGAAAAAAACCCACAAATTCAAATGCCCAGTACCACCAGATAGATGTGGGGGAGAAAGAAAAGAATAGCAAATGGAGTCCAAGGAGTTGGGACTCTAACTCAGCTGCCCCCACCTCTTTGTCCACATACCCACTCACGCGCATGCACACACACACACACACACACACACCAGCAGTTTCCTTCCCCTTCAATGGCTGCTCCGGGTTTGAAACTTTCAAAAGAAAAAAAGTTGGAGGAAAAAAGTAAGGTGAAAGTTAAGCTGACCTTTAGAACAGATGAGACTTTTTGAACATAGGTTCAAAATAGACAGCAACATTTTTCCAGATGCTTTCATCTAGAACTTCATTCTCCCTCATTCAAGAAGAAACAATGCAAAAAAAACCCAAAAAACAAAAACAAAAAAACCTTACTATAAATTTACCATTATTCAAATATACTAAACAATGACACAAAAGGGAAAAATAACTAAGAATTAACCTTGAACACTACTGCCACAATAAAATAATTTTAATAAACAAAGTATGTCCCCCTAAACCTGATCCTCTTTCAATGTTCTGTTTCTCAGTGAATTTCATCACAATCCATCCAGTTAAATAAATCAAAAATCTAGGTGTAGCCAATAACATTTTGTCTTTTCAACTTTCATATCTAATGTAATTCCCAGTTCTACCTCCCCAACATCTCTGAAATTCATTCACTTCTAACTAATTATCTTTTACAATTTACCTCCACCTTCTCTAGATTAATACTATCTCTCAGTGGGCTACTCCAGCAATCTCCTAACTGGTCTCTTAGTCTTCTGCCCTTGATAATCAGTTCTTCCTCTGAATAAATAATTTCAAATACTTTTTCATATCACTTAACATAATTGTAAAGTTAAATCTCTTTATCTGATTTACATCTGCTTCCTCTGTTACAGTAAATTCTACAAAGGTAGTAACTATATTTACTCACTACTACATCACTGTGGCCTAGAAAAGTACCCAATTATAAATAAATGCTAAATGATTGAATGTGTGTCAGAGATTACATCACTCATTGTAAGGATACCTTATGACATCAAGCCTCCATCACAGAATTTTATATTTAACTCTGAAATTAAAATTCATCTTACTATTAATACTCTTAATCTGTTTAAATAACAATATTTCTTTTCTCTTACTGAATCATAAAATAATGATGCTTTTTGGAATTTTTTTTAATCTCATGATTCACAATTCACCTGGGGGGCTCACTCATTTCAAACTGGTAATCTAGCCTTTCTTCTTCCTTGGCTACTATCCCACTCTCAACAATCAATAATTAACAAACCTATAGATTCTTTCACCAATATATTTCTTTATTCCATTTTCAATAAAGTCACTCTAAATCTAACTCCTCATTACTTCTCATCTGAGCTGTTACTGTGACTTCATTTATTTAAACTTTTTTTTTCCAAATTCAACCAACATTGTGCACTTACTACATGCAAGAAAACTGAAGACACAAAGTAGCTCTGTATTTACCCCTCTCTCTAATTGCTCTCCCTAAAATTTAGCCTTAGGAATTTTTGTTCATTTTATGCTTCTATCTCTAGAATTACTCTTCTCCCTATTCCTACCTATAAAATCTCTACCCACTATTAAAATTCCAGATTAAATCTCATCTTCATAAAACCTTCCCTAGTCAACCTCTCTTTTCGACTTTAACATTCGAAAATGCATACAATCTAACAATTATTACCTATACTTTCTGCTTCCTTAGGCAAAGTTTACACTTCATATATTCTTCTAGACTATAAACTCCCCAAGAGCAGAAGTTTCTGTTTGTCTCTTTTGTTCACTGCTCTATCACCTGCACCTAGCAGAGTAACTGATACAATAAAGCTACAAAGCAAGATCTTTATACATCCCAGGATGCAGAACAAATCTTTGCAACTGTAGTACAGTGGGAAGAAAAAAAATAAAAATTAAAAAAAAAAACTGGACTGAAAGACATACACTCTTTGAGCTTCAGTTTGTTCATTTGCTAAATGTAAATAATAATCAGTGGCTCGATGAACTGTTACAATTAATGAAGATAATGCTTCAAAAGCATTTGGTACAGATGCCAGGCAGGTGGCACATACATGTAATCCCCATGGGGATGGAGGGGTGGGGATGGAGGGATGGAGAGTTCAAAGCCAGCTTCAGYAAAAGCGAGGTGCTAAGCAACTCAATGAGACCCTGTCTCTAAATAAAATACAAAATAGGGCTGGGGATGTGGCTCAGTGGTCAAGTGCCCGAGTTCAATCCCTGGTACACCCCCATCCCCTGCAAAAAAAAAAAAAAAAGCATCTGTATAGATAAGGACAAGAGAACACTTATCAGTGAATGTTCTGATGATTGTATTAAAGAGTAAGAAGTATTCAATGACTATTAAACAAAATCTCAGAAAAGTATCAATTTGAAACTCAGGAATATCGGGAAAATATTTTTAAATTTGAATAATGTCTAGCTTCTTAGGTTTTTCCATTAAAGAGTTCCATGAGTTAATTAATTCTGAAATATACATTTAGCCCCAAATTTTAAGCATGGCTGAAACCATTTCAGATTAATTAGGAATAATCCCAATTTGATAATACAAGTATTAATGTTAATTTTATGGACAGGTATAGATTGTATTATTAAAGAAGAATGATAACTTACTATAATATATAATACAATAATAAGAACAGTAGTTGCAAACTCTTTTGAGTTAGAAGTGGCAAACTCATTTGAGTTGCGTTAGTCTCAGAAAGCAAGGGAAAAAAATTTTGTCTACAAAACACTAGTGAATAGTATTCAAAGCCCTTTACCAAATCTAGAAATACTTCATAATTATCACAAACACCTTTTTCAATATATGTACATCCCATTTCACAGAAAAAAAAAGCACCAATAGCTTTCAAACTTACTAATTATACAACTTCTTATGTTTTCTGCTTTTTAACTTTAAACAGTTTTCAAAATTTTATAGCAAGTGAATTGATCAGCAATTCAATACAGCATCAGATTACCTGACTAACTAGAACCCCTTCACTGTTAAGGAAAAAGCTTTATCAATTTGAAACTCAGAAAAGACATAGATTTTTCCTTTAAAGCCTTTCCAGTTCCTCTAAGTACTTTCAATGATTCATAATCTAATTATAAATCACAAGCAAGAAGGAAAGACCACTCCCTTGTGCATCTATGTGCTATCAACTGACACAAAATCACTGCAAAAAAAAAAAAATCCATTGGGACATACAGTACGGAAAACAAAAGAAAATTCCCATCTAAGTCATTTAAACATAAAAGGCTGTAGGACAAGGTATTCTCCTCAAGTCTAAGGCAGTAGCGGACTACATATAGGAAAATAATACAAAATGAAAATGTAAGCCAAAGAAGCTATAATAAAAATAAATTCAATAAGCAAAGTCAGAATTGGCCGTTGTAACTCAGGGTCATCATATGTTAAGAATGTATCCTGAACCTTCAATCTCAAAAGTGAAAATCAAATAAAATTAGTGAACGTTAATATTCAGATAGAAAGGCATCAGAATTCCCAAGGTAAGGTGTTACAGTTTGAAACAGTGACAAAGACCACAAGAGGGGACAGGGAATAGGAATGAGAAAATGAGATCTTAAGAATTTAGTTTTTTGTGTGTATATTTGTTTTTGTTTTTGTTTTCCCCAGAGAGAAATGGGCACGAGGAAGGGGCCAAACAGATGAGACAGCTCAGGGCACAAGATCGTGCCTGGAATACCTAATAAAAAACCGCAATGAAAGAGAGCTGCCCACAGGAAAGGCTTACGGTTTGTTATCTTTAGAGCCTAAGACAGGGTAAGGAGGAGTCAGAAGACAAATGACACTGGAAAGCGGAGAGGAGGGAGGCGCCAACGCCTAGAAGAACCCAACTGTTGGCCATAGGGTCTCCACTGGGGGCAGGGCCCCCCAGAAAACCCTGCCATTTGGGAGTTAGAGACGCTAATTCCCGACCTTCTCGACTCCCCTCGCCTCAAGCCGACCCCTCACCGAAAGAGAAGGACCCGAGAACTGTACAAATGTGCAGGAGCCACCAACCCAGGAAACGCTCCACCTCTAGCAACGGCCGCCACAAAACCAGCCGCACGCAGACGTTCCAAACTCGACGTCGCAGCCTCAGCTCCGCGGCCACGCGGCCACCGTAGTAAGAGGAACAGCCTCTGCCGCGAGCCCGCAGATCAGCCACTTCCGGGGCAAAGCCTGGCGAAGAGCGCTGAGGAGCACTGACCTGCGCTCAGGTGGCCTCCTACGTCCCGCCTTCCCACGGGTTTGCCTCCCGTAGCAACCGCTGATCACTCGTGCCACGAGGGCAAAGCTCAGAGAAGGCTTCTTAAGCAGTGTCTCTCTGATGGACTAAACCTTGCTACAGCTGTCAAAAATGTTGAACAAGTGGACTTCAACTACCAGCATGCCTTGCAACACCACGCTTGCTTTCGGCTCAAGAACTACAAGACCCAGTATGCACGGCGCCCTTCATTCTCACTGTCAGACAGTTTAGACCTCTCACCAAGCCACATTGTGATAAAAATACCACTATTGTCTTAACCTGTTGCAAGGGTACTTGGAGCCAGGCTATAGTTAGGACTCTAGGTTAGGTAAAATACCCAGATACGTGCGCACTCACTTTCCATCTTTACATTCTTTTTAAGGATTGAAACACAACAGTGCAGAAGAGRGCTCACTTTTAAAAGATGTTGAGGGAATGACTAAATCATAGTAAAAAGAAAATTTTATATGATTTTGCAGTACTGCAGATTCTGTTGGCGCAATTACTGCCAGACATTCTCCTAAAATACCTAGGAAATTATAGTAGAAACTCAAAGTAAAAAATAAATTAAAAAAAAAACAATCTGTACGTCAGGACTATGAAACCACATGGGAATGAAAACCTTCCAAAATGCAGAATTGAAAAATTCTAGATTAAACTTGAATCATTATTTTCCATTTTTAAATGTGAATTTGTTTATTTTCATCAAAAAACAGCTCTAGGTTAACTAGAGCTACTTACGTTTCATTCATGTTCTGGGGGCAATCAAATAACCAATCAGAGTACAAAATAATACATAGAACATTTGTTAGAGTGAGCAAGCAAAGTAACCCTCTTCTTGCCTATTTACATAGCTTGTGGTTCCATATATAGACGGACAGAATTCTTTTGATTATTTAGGAGAGAGAACATGCATCTAACAAGCCATCTGGATGACTTTTTCTAACTTCCATAAATAATTGGATGACAAGAATAAGGTTTATTTTTAACTTACTATATTAACAAGCCATGAAAAACAATGCTTGGATTCATAAAATAATTATGTGATAATTATGCAAAATTAAATTGTGTGACTAACATAAGCTTTAGGTTTCTATGGATTTATAGCAAAATAAATTTTAACTGGTTAGAAAAACAGAATAGAGGACTGGGGTTGTAGCTCAGTGCTAGAGCACTTCCTAGCACATGTGAGGCATGGGTTCAATTCTCAGCACCACATAAAAATAAATAAATAAGATAAAGATATCCTATCCATGTACAACTAAAAATATTTTTAAAAGAAAAAGGAAGTAGAATACCTTTCATTTTTACAACTTTATATGCAAGTCACAGAGGGATCTTATATTCCATAACACTGACARTATCAGCTACCACACAAACTGCTTTCCAACTTCAATGTGATAAATTATGCAGCACTAGCAAGTAAATATTTAAAATCTATGATCATGGAAAACAACTGCTGCTTTCCATACTTGTGCACCAAAACAATATGAATGCATTGAGGGAACATTTTCATTGGAGTGATTCAAAGGTAGTGTTAATAAATTATAATTAGGTTATCTGATATTTATAAGTGTTTGTAGAAGACAAACACATAATTGTATCCACTTATTAGTGATGTTATTAAGGAACCTTTTAAAATATGCTAAATATTTGATAAACATATTTCTAAAGCAGTCTCAATGATGGGTTGTGAAATGAACATGGAAGAGTATTTAAAGAGTACATAATTTATGTAACAGACTTTGTTTTTAGAGATTCTTGCAGCTGCAATACTCAGCACTGTTCTCTCCTGTAAATGCATTTTGGACGTTCCAATTCAACCAATTGCCAACTACACCAGAGTCAATACTGGTCAAACTGTTTAACAAATAAATAATAAGTACTCCTAGCGGCAAAGCACTCTAAGCACTCTGGGCTGTTTCTGAAGCCCAGATAAATTAGATAATTAAGAAAGATTTAAAGGAAAAAGAAAAGTGGAGAGAAGAGATTTAGCAGAATGGAAAACAAAGTAAAATATGTCTAACATTAACTTAATAATCACTTGTACACTCAGTTAATTGGAAATCTATAATAGTTAACATGCCTTCTAAGAGTCAAGAACTGCATCTTAAATATTTGTGTCACTCTCAGTGCTAAAAACAGTAACTAGTGTGTTTAAACAGAGGAACTAGTAGTGTTTATAGGAGTTCTCAGTGGTGACAGAGGACCAGAAACTCCCTCCTCATTCATGCTATGTGTTTTTTTAAATTTATTTTAATTAGTTATACATGATAGTAGGAATTCATTTGTGCACTTTGATATATCATACATAAATGGGGTAGGATTTCTCATTTTTCTGATTGTACATGTTGTAGAATCATATCAGTCATTGGTCATATATGTACTTGAGGTAATAATGTCTGTTTCATTCTCTATCCTTCCTATCCCCCTATCCCCTCCCCTCACTTCACTTCCCTGTACCTAATCTAAAGTAACTCTATTCTTCCCTAGCCCCCCCACCCCTTATTGTGAATTAGCATCAGCATATCAAAGAAAACATTTGGCCTTTGATTTGGGGGGACTGGCTTGTTTTGCTTAGCATGATATTCTCCAGCTCCATCCATTTACTGGCAAATGCCATAATTTAATTCTTCTTTAAGGCTGAGTAATATTCCATTGTGTTTATTTTAACTATTTTTTAGTTATCAGTGGATCTTTATTTTACTTATTTATTTGCGGTGCTGAGAATTAAACCCAGTACTTCACATGCTAGACAAGTAGTCTAACACTGAGCTACAACCCCAGACCTCCATTGTGCTTTAATGTAAGTTATTTCTAATACCTGAGCTTTTAAACAAATTAGTAATTCAAGTATATAATAACTGCTAAAACCAGAATATTTTATCAGTCAGAATTTACTACCCCTTTCTCTTTCTCTCCCTCTCCTCCTCCTCCTCCTC